ATTTTAAAAATCAAAAAATAAAAGTACTGAAAGGGGGAAAAAAAGTCAATGTAGAAGTCTATATGCAACAAAATATCTTTGAAATATTAAGTTGAAATAAATACTTCAGCCTGAAAAAGGTGAAAGAATCCATTACCAACAGACCTGAACTGTAAGAAACGTTAAAGGATGTCTTTAGGCAGAAGGAAAATAGAACCAAGGAGAAATCTGGATCTACACAAAGAAATGAAGAACACCTTAAATTGTAAATATGAGACTTTTTCCTTCTTCAAAATCTCTTTAAAGCCACTCAAACAAAAATAGTTAACACTGTACTGTGGGGACTTTAACAAATATAAGTAAAATGTATGACAAAAACACAGCACAGTCTGGGACGCCTGGGTGGCTCAGTCCGTTAAGCGGCTGCCTTTGGCTCAGGGCATGACCCCAGGGTCCTGGGATCGAGTCCCGCATCAGGCTCTTGCTCGGTGGGAACCTGCCTCTCTCCCTCTGCCTACTCTGCCTGCCGCTTCCCCTGCTTTTGCTCGCTCTGACAAATAAAATTTTTTAAAAAAATAGCACAAACTGGGAGTAGGAAAAATATTATTACTGTAAAGTTCTCACACTATAAATGAAGTGGTATATTACTTAAGACTAGAATACGATGAAAATTCATACACAAGAGGGGATGCCTGGGTGGCTTAGTCAGTTAAGCATCTGCCTCTGGCTCAGGTCATGGTCTCCAGGTCCTGGGATCGAGTCCCCAAGTCAGTCTCCCTGCTCAGTGGGGAGTCTGCTTCTGCCTCTCCCTCTGCCACTCCCCACCCCCCCAAACTCAGGCTCGCTCTTGCTCACTCTCTCAAATAAAAAAATAACAAAATTTACATACAATAAACCCTAAAAAACACTTAAAATTTAAAACAAAGTATTATAGCCAAGAAGCCAACAAAGAGGAGGAAATGGAATAATAAGTATTCAAAAGAAGGCAGATAAAAAGGGAGACAAAACTCAAGATGGTAGATTTAAACACAACGACATCAATATTCACATTCAATGCAACTGGTCTTAACACTCCCAACTAAGGCATAGGTTGGCAGACTGGATTAAAAAAAGGCAAAACCAAACTGTATGCTGCCCACGAGATGGACACTTTAAATATAAAAAATACCAACAAGTCTCAAGTAAAAGGAGAAGATAATACTATGTTAGTACCTGGGTTTTTTTTAAGTTTTTAAGTGGACTGCTAGTATTAACATAAGCTTTTAAAGCAAAGAATATTATCAGGAATTAAATGGGTAATAATGATATGAATGAATGTCAATTCAACATGAGGACATAACAATCCTAAACATTAATGAACTATTAACAGAGTTTCAAAATACACAAAGCAAAACCAGTCAGAACTAAAATGAAAAATAGACAAAATCCACAATCTACCTGGGGATTTCAAGACCCCAACATTAAATGATAGCAACGACAGACAGAAAATCAGTAAAGATATAGAACTTGAACACCACCATCAGCCAACATGACCTACTTGGCATTACAGATTATTTCACTCAACAGAGCCAGAAGATACATTCTTTTCAGGTGAATATGGAACACTTATGAAGATGTATCATGAACCATAAAGCAACTCTTAAGAAAATTTTTTAAAAGGAATCAAATCATACAAACTATTTACCAACCAAAATGGAATTAGAAGTCAGCAACAAAGATCTTTGGACACTAAATATTTGCCCAAATATTTGGACACTAAATAACACACACTGAAAATAACCCACGGATCAAAGCCAATGCCAAATGGAGAATTATGAAGTTTTGAACTGAATGAAAACAAAGATACATTATCAAAATTTGTTGGAAAGAAGCTAAAGCAGTGCTTGGAATGAAATTCATAGCATTAAAATACCAGTATCAGAAAAGAATTGCCTCAAATCAGTGACTCCAGCTCACACTTTAATATAGAAAAAGAGCAAACTACACCTGAAATAAGTAGAATAATAAAGAGCAGAAACTGGTGAAATAAAAAGCAGAAAAACAACAGAGGAAATGATGATGGAAACAAAATCTGATTTTGATTCCTTTTAAATCAATAAAACTGATCTAAAAAAAGACATGTTAGGGCGCCAGCGTGGCTCAGTCAGTCAAACATCTCCCTTCGGCTCAGGTCATGGTCCCAGGGTCCTGGGATCGAAGCCCGCATCAGGCTCCGTGCTCAGTGGGGAACCTGTTTCTCTTTCTCCCCTCTGCTCGTGCTCTTTCGCTCGCTCGCTCTCAAATAAATGGATAAAATATTGAAAAAAAAGGAATTAAAATAAAAAAAAAAAGACAGGGCGCCTGGGTGGCTCAGTCAGTGAAGCGTCTGCCTTCTGCTCAGGTCATGATCCTAGGGCCCTGGGATCAAGCCCCGCATCAGGCTCCCTGCTCGGCAGGGAGTCTGCTTCTCCCTTTCACTCTCCCTCTGTGCTCTCATGCTAACAAATAAAATCTTTTTAAAAAATAAAATTTAAAAAATTTTTTAAAAGATATGTTAACATTAGGATTGAGAGAGAATTATCACTACGTATCTTACTTTATTAAAATACAAGAGGAAAAAAAATACAAGGGAATTTCCAACTTATGCCAATAGATTTGACAACAAATTCCTTTGAAGATGCACAACCCCAAAGCTTACTCAAGAATAAATAACATGAATAACCCTTAATCTATTTTAAATATTGATTTGTAATGTAAGAAGGAAATTCCAGACTCAGGTTGGCTTTATTATAAAATTCTACCTAACACTAATAGAAGAAGTAATGACAATATGATACCCAGTCCTTCAGAAAACTGAGGAGGAGGGAGTTAACACTTACCCAAAGAACCTGTGAGGCCAGCATGACCTTTATAAACTCAAACCAGAAAGACATGACAAAACCCTGGAAGAGCTTATCACCACCTTTCAGTTATTTTTAAAAAGCCGTAAATATGTCAATGTCTCAGAAATAGGTGAAATTACTACTCAACAGTGGCAAGATTTGAAGATTTTCATTTTATTAAAAATATAGCAACACAATAGCAGCATCATTTGATAAATCTTTACTAGTACCACTTAGAAGTAGTCCTACTCACATAAATATACACCACCTAATGCAGCATCTTTATGTTTACATTTTAAACTCTTCCCTTAATAATCATAGCATTATGTAAAGAACACTACTGTTAAGATTCAGGAGAGTAATATTTAACTGTTAAACGAACTACCTACACAACTACACAATACACCCAAATGTCATCTTCTGTGGAAATCGGGGAGTTCTGTAGATTGTTCCCCAAGAGTCTGCTGCCTGCCACACAACCTCAGGTGGGTAGAACTCCATACCCTCAACTCTAATTCCTTCAGTATGATTTTCATAAATTTGAACTTGTACATATAGTCAAGAAATTATCTATCTAGCAAATAAAAGTTAATCAGGAGTGGAGAAAACTGTATTATTCCATTCCAACCCCAGGAAAGTAAATCTTAGCAGTAAAATATGTGAAGTTTCCCAAAAGTTGGCAACTTTCAAAATTAAAATGTTACCTAGATACAAAGTAAATTTAAAAATTAGGCAACAAACTAAAACCCTGCTTTTAAAAACAATATATTAAGTATTATATTAAATATAAAGTAAGTTATAATAAATTAGTTGCTAGGAACTATAAAAATACCTTAAAATAGAATGGAAAGAAATCTAGTTATTACTTACTACCAACCTCAATAGGGACCAAAAATCATTAATAGCTCCAGCTTTTATTTTTAAAATAATGTATCAATCTTCAGGCAGAATCACCAATAGAACATTTAAGAAAAACAAATTCATCCACAAACCCAAAACTAAGTAGGGAAGTCAATCTGATTTTAAAAGACTTTATATCATACTGGACTACCACTTCCAGAAATGTAATTTAGCCCTTTTAAGAGCACTAACTTTTGAAATTTGAAAAACAATTTTAAATGAATATTACACTAGTTAAATAAACCTAAGAATACTATGTAAGTGTGAAAATAAAAAAATATCTAAACACATAAAGAACATACTTTGTGGAAATGGCTCTACTTCATAACCCGCCCAGTTAAAATCAGATATTATCTTTTAGTGAAAATATAATCACTCACTGAAATGTTAAGTTATTCAATGCATCCCTCCAAAAGGACTCATTTTAACAGCTAATTCAACTACTAAAAAAAAGACATTTAAATCAAATATTATTTCTAATAGATTTTTTTAAATGTTTAAAAGCCTGTTACTACATATTATAATTCTTAAAATTAATTATCTTCAGAGCTGATTTGGATTAAGGGTTTAAGTTTTAAGGTAAAGACAGTAACATATATATAGGAATGAATAAGGTCCTGGAAATAACTAAAATCACAAATGAAGTTATTTTCTTCACAAAAAAAGGATTCTAAATGAGTTATTTTTGAGCATTTCAAAATTTAAGTCTCTGACATTTCTGAAGATCAACATACCATATATAGACTAACCTCTCGAATATAAGAATTCTGAACAAAATCACAAGCTGATTAGTGTTTGCAATTATAAATTAATTAGATTAGATGGAGAATAATAAGACAATTGCAGAAGTTAAGGATTTATACTTGTTTTCACATACAAAACTAGCCAGCTTATTATGAAGGCCCACCTTAATATAAATAATTCATTATGCATTGCTGAAAATAAAGAACAAGAGGATCAACAGAATTTGTCTAAAATGAGGAATAGCAACACAATTAAGGAACAGAGTGTACTCTCTGTATAATCAAGCTAAAAAATTATAAAGGGATCACATATAAAACGGCTATCTTCTTTGTCTTACCTCAAGTTTTCCTGACAACATCTACCTGGGTTGAAAAAGAATAGCCTTAAAGAAAAAAACAAAACGCCTTAAAAGAAAATAACATGGAAACCTACCAGGCTCCTATAAGTGAACAAAGAAAAAATATGTCTTTCTCTCTCTCTCTCTCGATCTGTCTCTCTCAATCTCTCTCTCTCTCTCTCACACACACACACGCATACTCACACTCACTCCAATACCTCCAGGCCCTAAAAAGCTTTGCTTCCATAAGCCCATTTAAGAACATTTTTTTACTTCATCTGGATCTCTTGTATTCCTATTCATGTCCAACTTTCACATATCAGAGTCTTTCAAAAGAAGTATCATTATTTTAAAGCTGAATATCACCAACAGGAAAAATAAGTAGCAGCAAGAACCAAATTAAGTGTGTTAACTACCAACACAGAAAACATTAAGAGTCCAGAGTACAAGAAATAATTCAAACTTTAAATGATTGTTTTATAGACACCACACATTCATTCTCCATGTCGAAACAATCTCTATGCCAACTAAAACAAGATAAACATAAACTAAGATGCTGTTTTGAAATGCATAAACAAATACTTTCCTCTAAAATACTTAGCTTTATTAGAGAAATGGTACTAAAAATAACAAAGATTCAAACATTTGCTCTATTCTACTTACATATTATAAATAAGACAACTGTTGATGCAAGACACACACTCCTTCACAATCTTTCCATATGCACTCAAGCATTCTTGTATCAGAATAAGCTGTTTACCAGCCAACCGTATGTGGTTGAATGATTAAAATGACCATCTATACTTTACATAGTAAAGCATTTTCAAAAATTTTAATGTACACAGTGACAAAAAGGAAAAAAAAAACACAGTAATTCTGAACACATGAAAGAGTAATTAAGCAGCTTCGTAGTCAAACCAGGCTTCATTGCAATAAGGGCAATTCTTTCCATTCTCTACCAAATACTTAAAGTTTCAATAGTATTAACATTAAAAGAAAACTCAAGTTGAAACCAAGTAACTGATGAGCTACTCAGCTTTTTAAATCTATAAGTAATTCTTCCCATGAGGTAAGGCAACGGAGTAATCTGATTGTATTAGACTGCATTAAAATAATTATACTTGATTTTTTTAATAACATGCTAATTAAAAGGTATAACTTTGGGGGGAACAAAACAATAATGAAAAGATTTCTGAAACTATGAGTTATGGCTTTGGGGGAAAATATTAGCAATGTTGTCATTTTACTACTTGTTACTTCCTGCAGAAAGTGAGCCTAAGCGTAACGGATGACCTGTATTTTAAACTCAAGTAAACATATCCTTAAAACAAATAACCTCATGTGTTCTCCTTTACATAGAATTTCTGCACATCATTTATGAGAAGATAATTAAGAGGTAATAATTAAGGCCATCCAATGGAGACAACGAAAGTGTTCGCTTTGATTTAAGTCAAGTAAGAACATGCTTCATTTTCAATTATCACAGTATAAAACTGATGGTCCCAAAACTGCATGGTTGTTGTAAGCTCTCAAGTCATTCTTGAAAACAGGACTTCCCTCATGTTAGGTGAAATATATAAGAAGCTCTTCTGACATACCACTTGCACACTTCTCTATGGGAGTGAATGGAATATCCATCTACATCCCCTATGAACTGAGAATGACTAGCACATATAAAATTCTAGAAAACAGCACACCACACTGTAGAAGGCACTAAAGCTTCAGCTTGTGCTCCCATAGCCCATTTTGAAAACACAGTTTTCTTTTTATAATGCCACCTTTGCCACCTACAGCTGACAACACACACTGCAATATTATTCATAATAAGCTTGGAAAGGTCAAGGAAGTTCAAAAAGAAGTGCTTACTTTGTGGGGAGACCCAATGATTCTAAACACCGAATACTAATACATTATTATTAGTATTCAACATGGGTGCTCTTCCTTTTGAAAGAGAACAGGAGCATGCATTGTCAGTTGTTTGTTAAACCACTTAGTTAAGCAATTTTAGTCTGTAAAACTATTTTAACGAGAAAAAAAAACTGTTGTCCTAAACAGTGAGCAAAAGAAAACACAAAAAGTGAGAATTTAACACAATCACCGTAAATCCTGTGAAGTAAATGTTAAAAACTTCTTACATACTCTGCACTTACGAGGGTGTGTATATATTTGCACCGATTTCAAGCACATCATCAAATCCGTATATATTGAAATTTAAAAAGAAAAAAAAGTAAAACAATACAAAATTCAGCAACTACCATTTTTTTAAAGAGCCTCCAATGCTTATCTCCAGTCTTTATGGATAGTACAAATTTGGATCTTTGATGTCCCATCTATTTGTAATAGTTCTTGGCAAACACTAACAAACCACATGACAAGTGTGTCAGCCACCATGGAAATGCACAGATTCTAGAAGATGAGTTTGGGTCACACGTGTTATTTTCACGATGTCCATGCTTTATTTTCTTACTCCGTAACAAGATGGCCACAAAGTCACCTAACAACTAGAAAAGCTGTTAGTTTGTATCTTTATGCTCAACTGGGTTTCTTCACTGTTTAACATCTTGTTGAGAGAATTAAAAGCTTTGGATTTTATTCCAGCATGTGTTTAGAGGTGCATTTGTCAGTCCTATACTGCTTCTGTTTTGGTAGAGAGGTTTTCTTCATTTGGCTGACAACTCCCATTTTGCTGTACTTTGTTTTCCTCAGTCCTTGGTGCATCCTTGTCATCTACTTCTTTGCCCACGCTTGAATCTGGTTCTTTATTGTGTTCCTTCTCCTAAAATGAATATTAAGCCACACATTTAATATTTTTCTCCAGAGTTACATACTATTACATCTGGTTATGGCTAAAATACATACTTCTGTCAACTTAGTACAAGTAGGTATTTTCTCTCATTACCTTATCATATAAATAAGGTATGCAAACATGTATCAGTATGTCCTCTGTACTTCTCATAAAAGATGGAAATTGTAAATTAAATTAGAATAAAACAGTCAAAAAGAAAGTCTAAGGAGTGTTCAATAAATGTTACTGAACTGAAAAAGTGGGACTATCTGCTGAAAGAGTTGAACAGCTCCCAAAGATGCCAGGATAGATTTGTAATCTGGATACCAAAGAAGCAGAATTCAGAGGATGTAGAAAAAGGAATCACTACTCGTCCTAGCAAAGACTGCTCAAGAACAATTCTGCCCTCAGCTTAAAGGAGAATTAAATGAGAACATATGGAAAAATGCCTGACACACAGTAATGCTCAAGAGACACTATCAATGTTACTGATGATGATGATAAACCCCTACCAATATGAGAGTAAATAAAATTGTAAGATGAAAGCTCCAGAACTCATAACTGATTTCCAAATACAAATACACTTACTGGAATAACAAAGCAATTAATGTAATTTATAAGCAGTTAAATATTTATCCCAAAAAACACCCTTACTTGGCGGAATTTGGTTTTCCATTAATTATTCTAATTCAACAAACCTACTAATTTCAGTATATGTTACAAAACCAATGACGGGAAAAAAAGGGGGCGCCTGGGTGGCTCAGTCATTAAGCATCTGCCTTTGGCTCAGGTCAGGATCCCAGGGTCCTGGGATCGAGCCCCGCATCAGGCTTCCTGCTCCGTGCGGAGCCTGCTTCTCCCTCTCCCACTCCCCCTGCTTGTGTTTCCTCTCTCGCTGTGTCTCGTTCTGTCAAATAAACAAAATCTTTAAAAAAATAAAAATAAAAATAAATAAATCTAGTTCTATGTAAAAAAGAATCTCAATTATTAATTTTTTAAAGCCTAAACAATGAATGACTGCAACTTACTTTAAGTGAAGTATTGTTCTTCTCCAACTTTTCCTTTCCATCTCGGTCATTAGAACTCTTTCTTGTAGAGCTTGAACGTTCTCTCTCTCTTCTTTCACTAATGTGGTCCCTTTCTTTTTCTCTCTTTTTATCCTTCTTATTTCTGCTATAAGAACAGTAATAATATGCCAGTTAACTTCTAAGAAATTAAAGACCTACTATGTTGTTGACAAAACAGTCTTATCTAACACTAATGCAAATGTAATCCGGTTTGACCAAGTAACATAAACAGTCCTATAGCCCCACCTGCTCCACCCTATACCCCAATTACTTTTTTAAAGATGCCCAAGTCTTTTTTTTGCAGAGGCCACCATGTGTTCACATAAAACACAATTTGGTATTTTCAATTTATTTGTTCAAGATTTATTTATCAATCTCAACTGTAATGAGATTAAAATAAAACCAAATATATGGGCTTTTTACCCACCTTTTCAAAGCAAAAAATGAATAAGCAGAAAGAAATGAAAAGGATAAAGAATTAGAGGTGGTTCCCAGGGAGGACTGAATGACTGAGTACCAGCAAAACTTGAATTTCAAATAACCCGTGCTACTGCCCTTGTCATTCACCATTACAAACACGTCACACCAATTCAAGATCAAAAGCTACATGAACAAGTTCCACTGATAACAACAATACCTTTAGAATTAGAGGGAAAACACAATGCATTTCCAATCAGAAGCATAAGCCGCCTTTCTACTTTAAAAAGTTAGCCTTAACGTGGAATTCTAGGCTTTTTTCTCTTAATAATGAATAATTCAAAAATAAAGACAAAGACCAAGAAAACAAATAAAGACACTGAGCAAACAGACCTAAGTACATATGAAAATTTAGTATAACAAAGGTGGCATCTCAAATCATTGAGAAAAAGATGACCTTTTATAAATAAAAGGTATGGAGACAACTGGATTATTATTTGGTAAGTGATAAAACTTGATCAGTATCTCATATCTCATTCCACAATATATAAATAAGTCCAAATGGATGAGAGACCTAAATTCTTAAAATACAAGTGCTAAAAGAAAACATGGGTAAATTTCTTTACTATCTGGGTTTTGAAAAGAAAGATTTTTTAACCCAACTAAGAATCAGGTACAATAAAAGACTGATAAATTTGCCTACATAAACCTTGCAAGGAAAAAAAAAGGCATTACCATATTCAAAAGAAAAATGACATATTTGCAACATATGTGTGCATCTTTCTACATAATTTTTAAATGTCAAGGGAACAGTCACATCAAACTGAGTAAAATTCTTAGGAATAAATTTAACCAAGGAGGCAAAAAATTTGCTGAAAAAGATGAAGAGAAATAAATAGAAAGACATCCACATTTATGGATTGGAACACTTAAATATTGTTAAAATGGCAATACTGTCCAAAGCCACCTAGAGATTGAATGCAACTCCTATCAAAATCCCATTGTTGTTATTGCAGAAATACAAAAACTCATCCTAAAATGCATATAGAATCTTGAAGGATATCAAATAGCCAAAACAATCTTAAAAAGAACAAAGTCTGAAGGCACAGCATTCCCAATTTCAAAACTTACTTAGGTACAGTACTCAAAAACAGCACAGTATTACATAAAGAAAGAAAATAAACCAGTGGAATAGACCAGAAGACCCAGAAATAAACCCCCACATATATGATTCAAATGATTTCTGACAAGGATGCCATGACCCATTCAATGGGGAAAGGACAATCTTTTCAACAAACTGACACTGGGAAAACGATATCCACACACACAAGAATGAAGTTGGACCATTATCTTATACCATGTTAAAAAGTTAACTCAAAATGGATCAAAAACCTAAATATATATGCTAAAGCCATAAAATTCTTAGAAGAAAACACAGGAGAAAATCTTCATGACATTGCACTTGGCAATGTTTTCTTGGATATGACACCAAAAGCACAGGCATCAAAAGGAAAAAATAGATAAATCTGACTTCATCAAAATTAAGAGCTTTTGTGCATCAAAGAGTACTATCAAGAAAATGAGAAGCCAACCCACAAGAGAGATATCTGCAAATCATGTCTCTGGCACGAGATTAATATACAAAATTTAAAGAACTCTTACAAACAACTTAAAATACAAAAATAACCCAATTTGGAAATAGGCAAAAAACTTAAAAAGACGTGTCCCCTAAGATATACAATCAATAAAGCACACAAAAAGATGCTCAATATCACTATTCGTTAGAAAAACGCAAATCAAAACCACAATGAGATACCACTACGCACTCAGCAGAATGGCTATAATCAGAGGCAGACGATAACAAGTGATGGTGAGCATGTGGAAAAATTGGGAGTCCTAGCACAACGCTAGTGGGAAGGAAGAATGTCAAAGGCGCTTGGGAAAAGTTTAGCAGTTTCTGAAAAGATTAAGAGAGAGGCACCTGGCTGGTTCTGTTGGTACTGCAGGGGACTCTTGGTCTCAGGGCTGTGAGTTTGAGAGAGTAATAGAGATTACTTAGAAAATTAATTAATTAATTAATTAGATTCACTGCTCAGCATACTGATCAAAAAAAAAAAGATAGTACCAGAGGACTCAGCAATTACCACTCCTTGGGCACATGCCCCAGAGAAATGAAAACACGTGTCCACACAAAAACCTGTACATGAATGTTCATAAAAGTATTACACATAATACCTAAAAAATGGAAAAATACTAAAAGTTCATTAACTAATGAATGGGTAAATAAAAGATGGTTTTATCCATTCAACAGAATATTACTCACACAAGGAATCAGGTACTGATACATGCTACAACATGAACCTTGAAAACATTACATTTAGTCAAAGAAGCCAGATACAAAACACTATGCATACTGCATGAGTCTACATATGAATGTCCGGAACAGGCAAATCCACAAACAGTAAGTTAGACTAGTGGCTTCCAGGAGCTAGGGGGAGTAACTGCTTATGGGTACAGGTTTTCAAGTGAAAAAGATGTTCTGGAATTAAGTAGCAGTGATGGTTGACAATACTGTGAACCTAACTAAAGACCACTGAATTGCACGTTTAAGGTGAATTTTATGACGTGTGGATTATTTCTCAATTAAAAAAAAAAAAAAAAAAAACAACCAAGGGACGCCTGGGTGGCTCAGTCGTTACGCATCTGCCTTCAGCTCAGGTCATGATCCCAGGGTCCTGGGATCGAGGTCCGCATTGGGCTCCCTGCTCTGCGGGAAGCCTGCTTCTCCCTCTCCCACTCCCCCTGCTTGTGTTCCCTCTCTCGCTGTGTCTCTCTGTCAAATAAATAAATAACATCTTTTAAATAAATAAACCAACCAACCCAAGGTGTAGGTGGGGCTAGGTACAGTCACACACACACTCACACACACACACACACACAGAGTATACATAAAGCATGCTCTCTTTTGTGCAGAAGGAGATATTCTAATCAATGTATCTGCTTAGTTTTCCAAAAAGAAACACAGGAAGGATAAAAACAATTGATCACTTAGAGAGAGTGGATGGGGAGCAATGCAGAAGGAATAGGCAAGAAGTGACTTTGTGAACACATCTTTTTATCTGAGTTCCTAACTGTGGAAAGTTTTAACTTTCATAAGTATTAAAAATATATATGCGGCCCACAAGTACAGTATCGTATGCCTTCCATTATTTTCACCTCAAAACAATAACCCACAAGCAAATAAACATGAAACCCCTGCTGAGAAACATGCTCCTCTTTACACTCTGGCAAAGGTTTTTGTAAATTTCTCTTTTCTATACCTAGAAAACCACATGAAAAACTATGACCAATCATTAAGGTGGTGGAATGAAAAATAAATACACAGAATGCAATAATCTTCCTTTGCAGCACAAACCCAACCTCCAATGAGAGGATATAATGAAAGAAAAGGCCTCATTAACAAGAGCAACAACAACAACAAAATACCTAGGAATAAACTTAGAAGATGCATAAAATCTGTACAAAACAAGCACTGAAACATTCCTAAAGAACACTATGGATGGTTTAAAGAAGTAAAAAAGAGACTGGATAGAAAGACTCATCATCATAAAGCTTTATTTATTAATAAAATCTATTTAGTCAATTTCCCCTAAGTTAATTAATAAATTTAATGCAACTGTAATACAAATCATCACCAGATTTTACTTCTAAAACCTGAACAACTGACTCTTATTTTCAAATGGAAAAATAAACAGGCCAGAATGGTCAGAAATGCTCAAAAAACAGCAGTGGAAGTGTGGGAGAGGATCAGCCTTACTAAACGTTAAAAAAATACTACACAATTTGAATAATAAAAAGCATGGAGCATTGGTACATGAATCATCAGTCAAACCAACCCAGCAGCAGCGAAGGCCCAGAAATAGACCCAAACACAAAAAAAAATATTTAGTACCGGAAAAGGCAATATTAATATAAGGAATCAATGTTAGAAAAATTGAGTTTTTAATAAATGATACTGATCAAAAGAAAAGCATATAGAAAAATAAAATTGGACCCACATGCCATACTGTAACATAAGGATGAACTCCTAATGGATCAAAGATTTTAATGCAATAAGTAAAACCATAGAAGTATAAGAAGAAACAAGGGGGGCATTCTATTATAATCTTGGAATAGAAAACACCTTTCTAACTTTATATGACTCAAAATCCAAAAGTCATTAAAGAAAAAATTTGAGGGGTGCCTGGCTGGCTCAGTCAGTAGAGCATGTGACCCTCAATCTCAGGGTTTTGAGTTTGAGCTCCACACTAGGTGTAAAGAAAAAAAAAGAAAGAAAAAATTTGGGAAATTATAAAAAAAATAAATAAATAAAAATCCTTTGTAAAATCAAGTCTCATAATATTTTCTGAAAAGAAACAACAAAGTAGGAATGATACCTAGTATCAAATCACCAAAGATTAATCTCCCTAATACAAAGACGCCTGGCTGGCTCAGAAGAGCATGCTACTCCTGATCTCAGGGTCGTTGAGTTCGAGCACCATGTTGGGGGTAGCGTTTACTATAAAACAAAAAACAAACCAGAACAAAAACAAAAAAACAAAACTTAAAAAAAAAAAAACCACTCTAATACAAAAAGAACCCCTGGAAATAAGAAAAACAAACAAAAAGCAGAGCCCACAAAAAAAAAAATGGGCAAAGCATACCAACAACTCACAGAAAAGGAAATACAAATGGCCCTCAAATATATGAAAAGGTCACCTTCACTCCTAAGAGAAATGCAACTAAAATTACTATATACTGATACCATTTCTCATCTATCAGACAAAAATCCACAACTGTAGTAATATAATATGGTGTAGCTGACAGAAAACACTCTCATACACACCGGCTGAAGTGCAAATTGCTGCCAATCTTTACGGAGGGCAATAAAGAAACATGTCTCAAAATTATAAACACACTCCGACACAACAATACCACTTTTGGAATTTTCCCACACACCTGCACACAACAAAGTTAAGTCCAAAGCTATTCATTACAGTATGGTCTAATTTATAATAGGAAAATTAAGCAAACCCATTCTACGGCGGGCTGGTTAAATAAACCAAGGTAGTGCCACACAATGGAAGTCTATGCAGTTCTAAAAAAAAAGAATGAAGCGGCACTCGCTGATGAATATGTAAAGCTCTCCGGGCAGTTGGGAGACAAAAAGCAAGGGCACAACAGTGTGTTTTTTGTGCTACCTTTTGCATAAGAAATATGAAAAGAAACTATAAATTTCGAGCTCGTGTATCTCTACACAAAACTGGAAGGGTATGCAATACAAAAAAGCGAAGTCACTACTTATGGACACAGAGGAGATGAGTACATAGGTGAAGACCTAACTGAGGTATAACTTTATACTGTTGGGATTTCTGAAACATGCAAATGTATAACATATTACTCATTCAAAATATAAAGTTTAAAAATAGATCCAAAAGAAGATTTTTCTTCCCCCGCTCCATCTTTGGATTTAGCACACACTTTCAACCTACCTCCTAGGGGATGGAGATCTAGAAGATTTCCTTTTTATAGTTTTTGATGTTCTTGGTGATCTGGAAGAACTCCTGCTCCTCCTCCTACGCCTTTCCCTGAAAGTCAAAAATATATCATTTAAAAATACAGCAATTTTAATAAAGGGCAATTCAAATACACAAAAGCAAAAAGGTCCTTAATGCTCTCAAGTTAACAGTAGTCTTTCAAAGACCAGTTTAAACTCATGTCCTTTAAGAACATGTTCTATTACCTAATATTAGTGCAGGTCAAATTTTGAACCATAAATTTTACAGACATGAAAATATGTTCTGAGATTTCGTAACAGAAAAGGACAAAGATTCCTTTTCATCCAGTTTATCTGAATAAGAACTTCCTGAATAGAAAAAATATTAATGGATATTTCAGATTCTCTCAAGTTAAGTAAGTTCTTCTCCAGCATCTAAAACATGTTTTGCTTATCCAGATCCTTTGTCCTGTATCTAGCTCCTTGCTGCCCCACTGTGGATTATTTTATAAAAGATTAAGGTGGCTTGCAAAATGTGAACTTTACAAATCCAAGCATTTAGAATGTCTCTAAAAAAGCATTTACATTAATCTATTTTTACAGAGAAATTGTTTTACCCTTCAACTTCCTACGATTTTATTGTTCTATTCATTTAAAACCGAGTGCACAATTTGCTTAGAAGTAAAAGAGTTAAAACCTGGGCCTTAAATATGAGATAAAAAAATAACTACTGAATTGATTAACACTGTTTAGTATTATTAAAAATGATTTTCTTTAACATGTTAGCAAATGATGCATACTCAAAATTCTTCATTTATAAGCATGGTCAACTGAGAAACAATGAATTTCAAGATGCCCATAACTCAGGGGATGACGCAGGAGGACATACTTACTACGATTAATGTGTCCAATGAACTCACAAGGAGCTCTAATAATTAGTGGCCATATAGGTGAAAGAACCAAATCCCCTAGAATCCAAGTTCTCCATACCACCTCAGTAAGAATATTCTAGGCTAAAGAAGCATTTTGCCTACATTTTTCATTAAAAAATAAATATTAGATAATGCTCAGATGTGGTAGATACAGTCTATGTTAAGACCAAATTAGCCAAGAACTTTGAAAACACCATCAACTCCAATTTTACCTAAAGCTCTCTCCTCCATTACCCAATTTTATTTCCAAGACAGCCCAAAATTATAGTTCCTGACTAATGTGAAAATAGGTGAAGATATTCCATTCAGTCAATGCCATTCTGTAACAGCTCAGCATAAGTACCATAGATACTCATTTCATAGGATGAGAATATCAATGTATGTTAGACTTAGTTTACACAAAATGGTTCCACCCTGACCAGTCTTGACTGTTTTAACTTTGTTCAGGAAGCACTATGTACAGCTGGACATCTGATAACTAACAGCTGATGATAATGAGCGCTAAGGCTGGATAGACAGCAATCTAGAACATCAATTAGTTGAGAAAGAGGCAGTCAGGGGTAGTATACGGAACTGTAGTTGGTTAGACTTAGATTTAAATTTTAGTTCCATACCTTACCAGCTGCATGACTAAGGTCGTATTACTTAGTCTGAGTTTCAGTTTTTCCAACTGGAAAATGGAGTTAATAACTCAAGCTTGATAGTGTTGTTATGAGAATTTAGGATGATACCTATAAAGTACCACACAGTCTCTTGCACATACTTGGTGTATTTTCTCCTTTCTCCTCACTAGCTTTATTGCTAGTTACTGTAAACACTCAAAGTTGCTTAAATATCAAAATTTTCTTTAAAAATGTAGATTAGGGGGCGCCTGAGTGGTTCATTCGGTTAAGCATCTGCCTTTGGCTCAGATCACGATCCCAGGGTCCTGGGATTGAGTCCCACATCGAGTTCCCTGCTCAGCGGGGAGTCTGCTTCTCTCTCTCCCTCTACCCTTCCACCCCTGCCTGTTCTCTCTCTCTAATAAATAAAATCTTTAAAAAAATAAAATAAAATAAAAATGTAGATTTAGAGGATGATGTTGAAAATAAAAATACCAAGGACTCTATTTTTCTGAGCCATTAAAATGTTTCCTGTTAACTAAACAAATCAGAGCACATGAAAAACAGAAAAATACTAAAAGATGACAAATTTTAACTCTTCACCAAGCTCTTATGAAAGCACAAAACATGCCAAACTTCAGAACCTTTAGAAACTAACATTAGTCAGCATTTCTTCCTGAGGCCCCAGAGGTTAGTTAAGAATATATTTAGGAATGAATGTCAACATCTGAACTTCCTTAAATGTCAAGCAACTTAAAATGGCCCCCCCAAAAATTAAACATTTCAAAGTCATCCAAAAAGTAAATTCAACTGAATTTAAAAGGAATCAAAACATTGTTTTGTGTTATGAAGGACAATAACTAAATGATCACATAAACACAAAGGAAGGTGTGACAGACAATAAAATCACCGTACAGTAAAGGAACAGGCTTGCAAGGCTTGACTGATGTCCACAGCAATGAGACTAACTTAATTCTTCAGTTTCTGGTTCAGTGTGCTGAAATATGGTAGTGATCTGTTTATTTTAAGCCCCAGTTAAACATACACTGTTGTTTTCAACTTTATGCTTCTGCAGCAGTTTCTTAAAGCAGGTACCAAGTACTGATTAGAGAATTCTCAAACTTAATCTCTTAAAAAGAAGAGAAAGATCTACCATATTTCTAATATGGAAGTGTGGAGCAGATGGAAAACTTCCCGAAAGCTATGGTATTATCATACTTTGAAACCATGATAATAACAGTCTTCTCACAGACTTACTGTGAGGAATAAGATTAGTCATGAAAAACCGTGCAGAGACAAAACGTGGCATTTGGTAAAACATTCAATAAACGCCTGCAATTATCTTGTAGTACCTAACCAAAGACTGGTATTAAGAACAAGCTATTGGGGCGCCTGGGTGGCTCAGTCAGTTAAGCGTCTGCCTTCGGCTCAGGTCACGATCCCAGGCCCAGGGTCCTGGGATCGAGCCCCGCATCGGGCTCCCTGCTCGGCGGGAAGCCTGCTTCTCCCTCTCCCCCTCCCCCTGCTTGTGTTCCCTCTCTCGCTGTGTCTCTCTCTGGCAAATAAATAAAATCTTAAACAAACAAAAAAAAATTGACAGATCAAGGAAAACCAAAATTTAAATGTCATGCACTCAACAAATAGCAGTAAAAATCACTTAAATGAAATTTTAATAAACATTCTGCATATTAAAATTTACCAAGAGGTCAATTCTTCCATTTAAAAAAAAGAAGAAGAAAAAAAGAAAAACTTGTCCTTGCCATCTCATCCTCCAAGAAAATAAGCAGCAGCAGCCACTGCCGGCACCAGGAATTACAAAGGATAGTTAAAACTTTTCAAATAACTTTGCCCACTTATCATCTCTTCGCCTTCACAGGTTCAATACTGCGGCAAGCACTCTACTAGAGAAGTGTTTACTCGGCAATTAGAGCGCAATGATCCGGTTATTACTGTATTGTTTCCACTACGTAGCATAATCTCTTCCCTCCTGGTTAAAATTTACATTTTCATTTGTCATCAGTAAACCCCCTGGTAGAAAATTTAAGCATTATCAAACCTGCTGGAACTACGAGATCTTCTTGATGCATTGTAACTTCGGGGCGGTGTTCTGGATTTTTTATCCTTCTTTCTTTTCTCATCTATCTCTTTCGATCTGTCCTTGTCCTGTTCCTTCTCCTTGTCTCGCTCCTTGTCATGTTCTTTTTCCCGCTCTCGCTCTCTGTCCTTTTCCTTGTCTTTATCCCGGTCCTTTTCCCGTTCTTTATCCCGGTCTTTCTCTTTGTTTTTACCCCGTTCCTTTTCTTTTTCACGTTCCTTCTCCCTGTCTCTCTCTTTTTCCCTTTCCTTTTCTCTATCTTTTTCTTTCACTCTTTCCTTTTCCTTGATCTTTTCTCGGGTGTCTTTTCTCTTATCCCTTTAAAAACAAAAATAAATAAATAAAATCACAACTATAATTATTCTACTCCCCAAAAAGGACCTCCCTCTCGTTCAACAATTACCAACCCAAAACAATTTATACCAGTTTATAATACATTACAGGATAATCTCTATGTACCCCAGGTGTACATGAAGCTGTTAGATGAAACAGTTACCCGGTTTAATTATGTATTTGAGAAACCTCATGAGTCATTCTAATCATCATCAGATTCAAATCAATGGCAATCAGTATTAATCACTACTAAAACAATCAGAAAAAAGTTTACTGTCTCTCATTAAAAACCTAAACCATAGTAATTTTTTAATAAGTGAAGCCACGAGAAAAATTACCGCTAATTTCCCCAAAACTCACCGTGAACGCGAACGACTCCTTGACTTCCGTCTCTCCCTTGATTTAGAGCGTTTTTTATGTGGGCTCTTAGATCTACGTCTGTCTTTTTGTCTTGAACGTGATCTATTATGGGATCTACTCCTAAAGAAAAACAAGTTGTTAGAATGTCAAAACTTACTCTTAAAATTTCAATTTTTAAAAATTTAAGACGTCTTTCAAGTGAGAAAAATTTAAAACCTATCCCAACAGTACTTTTCAATATTTTAGAATTCTCTATTACATAATGCCTCAGATTATTTGCAGTAATTTATTTATTGGCAACTTTACCAAACAGTTCATTTTCAGAACACAAAGAGAAAGAAATTAAGTTATTTTCTATGTCAGACTGAAGCTATTGTTTTCAAGTGTGGCTTTCTTGTCTAATTATTATATGCCTGTTACTGTGTGAGTTCTCCCACAGAACAAGTTTGTATACCATAAATTAAATTTAACTCTTGACTTGCATGTAATTGCTTGTGGTTATACTTTCACAAGAAATAGTGGTTTTCTGGCTCAAGAGTTTCTCTAACTGGCTGTGTGATGTCTGTCATAACATATATTAAGAATGTGTAAGGAAGCACAGTACTAATATATGCTGCTAGTGTGACAAGAAAATAAACATTACTCATGAGTTGAAGCTATAGATAATTAAATGTTGGATTTGCAAGACCTCTTGATTTTATAACTATATAAACATAGCTATTAAAAGAAACTTTTTAAAGATTTTATATATTTGAGAGTGTGAGCATGATCAGGGGGAGGGAAGGGCAGAGGAGAGGGAGGAAACTCCCTGCTGAGCAGGGAGCTCAACACAGGGCTGGATCCCAGAACTCTGGGATCATGACCTGAGTCAAAGGCAGATGCTTAACCGACTGAGCCACCCAGGTGCCTCCGCTAAAAGAAACCTTTATTACTGGAATTCTTGCGGGAAAAATAACGATTACTCCAATTCTGAAATTCTCTAGGCTCCTTACTCCCACTGAAATAATGCTTATATAATGTGGTTTTTATCCTAGTAACTATTTATTAAAATATAACAAAACTGAATGCACACAAATAACAAAGTGACGAGACTCACCAGCTCTGGAGTGAAACAATCTGGCTCTGACACTCAGCTCTCCTACATACTAGCTTTGAGAACTCTGGCTACTCACTTACCCTCTCTAAGCCTAGTTTCTTCATCTACAAAGTTGGAGAATCATACCTACATCACCTAGGCCTGTAATGAGGACTAAATCAGATGACACATGAAAGACTGCCTAGCAGTCTCGGGCACAGAGTAAATGTTCAAAATAATTCTTAACTCTCAAGATCATCAGCATTAACAATTAACATAAATGAAAACTTTAAGTTACAGCTTTATTTATTCCAAGGAGATCAAATGAACTTCCACAAGTATGCTTTATATAATTAAAATTCATCTTGATAGTCATGTTTTCATGAGTTAAGTTAAAACAAAGATCTATAAAAGAAATACATACAGTTAAATTCTTGTGGTATGCTAAGAAGCCAGAAAAATCTTGAGACAATTTTCAATTAATAATGAAATCCTGTTTTTTTAAACACATTTTTCAGTTAGTTAAAATGTTTCCCAACAGCTAATTTTCAACTGAACCACTCATCTATTTTATGGCTTTAAAAATTATACATTTATCTTCATACCCTATTTTCAATACAAGAAGATAAGCCACAGTTTGTTGAAATCTTTATTACTAATAACCCAAGAGACAATCAGGCAAGTGGTAGGTAAAAGCAAAACTGCAAAACTTAAGACATTTTAAATCCATTTACAGACATCCACATAAGGGGAATGTTTTATAAGGCCTTTGCTTCTACGCACTTAATAGAAAGTCTTTACATTTCTGTTCTAGTTAACCTTGCTAAAAATATACATAGTAAGTTTGTTTTCCTCAAACACTGCTTTCCAACCTTAATTAAGCAAAGAAACACCTTTTAAAAAAGTAAGTATAGCTTTAGGAAGTAAGAATTAATTTTAAAAACACTGATCACTTGGCTTCCCACCTTACCCCTACAGGTCCTCAGAGTTTGGAAGTCCCAAGTGTAATTACTGTATTTTAATTCTGACATTAAATATTTTCATGTCCCTATTTCACCCACTAGTCACCTCCAAACAAGTGTTCTGATTAGGAATACTAAAAGCTTCAAGTCAAGAGTAAATCTAATCCAACCAAAGAGAAAGACTTGAGTTATCATTAGGAGATCTCAATTCAGCATAATGTGCAAAATCACATTTATAAATTAAACTGTACATACAGGGCAACTTACCATCATGTCTCATCAAAGTTCAACTCTAAGTCTGCTTAATTAAAATATTATAAAATGTCTTATAGTTCCCATGCTGGTCTGTCAAGGTTACTTAGCTTTAAAATATAATAATTACAGTACTACCCACCTTTTCTAACACTGTCCTTTGAAAAAAACACATATAAAATTTTGAACAAAGTCAAAATACATCTCCCCGGTCCTAGCCAAGATCACAGTGACAAGAAACCCCTTCCTGCCTCCTACTATACAAGGGGAAGGAACGACGAAAGGATAGGGGCTGGAGGGAGGCTCCAGAAGCATCTGAGAATGCTGAGAAAGTAGAACAGGGTGGGCCTTCAAGAGCAAAGGCTCCTGCAACTCGTACTCCTGCTAATAAGTCTAATGGGGCAGAGCCAGAGCTGAGGGTATCAAATCCCACTAGCAGGGGAAGCCAAGAAATGCCTGCCATCCCCCTCCCCTACCAGGGAAGATCCTTCCATACCAAGATTTTTAAGTCAAATGTTTTCAGTTAAGGGACTTTTTTTTTCCCCTTAAAAAGAAACTTTCTTCTTTTGTATTTCTTTATGAACTCACTAAAGGCTATATGTATTTCTGTACATGTATAAAAATAGTATAAATTTACACACTACATAAATATGACAGTGTTACAAGTATGTGTATGTATGCCAAAAGCAAGTAATTTCCACTGCTACATAGTTAGACAAACCTACAGGAAAACATTCTCATGAATTAAGAACAGTAATTAACAAATTTCATTTTAGACTGAAAAACCCTTCCCCTACTAACCCTTGGAAGCGGAAAATATCCAAATATACCTAAAATGTAAAAGCAAGCACCTTAAAGCAGAGAGTTAAATAAATCTGCTCCAACAGATAAATCTTCACAGAGATTATCAAGGAAACAATGATGTTAATCAAGTTTTGCTTTTTTCCAGCCTTATAAAACCACTAAGGTAGGATATTTGGAGCACGGCTCTTGTAATCAACACAAAATGAAATTCGGGTCATTGGTCTTTTTCCTCCTCAGAAAAGAAGTAATTACTCTTGAGCTCAATTTTATATTTCCTTTATCTCCTTTACGTTCACCACATCCTGTCAACCTGTAGAAATGTCCACAATCTAGTGCCACTGCTTCTATACCACTTTCCTTCTCCAGTGCTGGCTTCTGTTGCTCTAACGTATGCCTTGTACATGCAACAACTTCCTTCACTTGGACCTGAACTTGCCTTACTGGAAGCCCTTGAAGGGAGACAGTAAAACTAAATCACAAAAGAGACCTTACAAACAAAGAATAATGTAAAAGTATACACCTTGATATCACAGAAAAACAGACTAAACCGAGCCTGCTGATGAGGTTCAACATACAGCATACCGGTTCCCTTTTCCCCTCCTCTCAAACCTTCCTCCTTCTCCAATATCACCACACACACACACACCTACACCTTTCTCTACATCTTCTCTTTAGACCTACGTGTGTACATATTAACACGCAATTGGGATCCACTATATACATTCTCACATTTCAGTAACACCTCCCACATCTTAAAGAAGACAAAATTTTTCACTTTAAACACGATTCTTAGGGCACTTCCAAATCAAAATGCTGTTGCAAGTTCACATTTTGAAGTCCACTTCAGACTAAGTACAACAAACAGATTTTTTATTTATCATTATTTTTTAGATTTTATTTATTTGACACAGAGAGAGCATAAGCAGGGGGAGTGGGAGAGGGAGAAGCAGGCTCCCCACCTGAGCAGGGAGCCCAACGTGGGGCTCGATCCCAGGACCCTGAGCCGAACGCAGACACACTTAACCGAATGAGCCACCCAGGCGCCCCCACATTTTTTTAAAAAAAAAATTAAAATGACAGAACTATGTTCCAAAGTAAGATAAACAGAACAGAAACAGAGCTTAAGCATAATACAATAGCTGGAACTAAAGCTACAAAGTTACTGCTGTGTTTCAGGTCCCAAAGTGGGTGCAGGAGGCTCTTATTATCAAGAATACCAAAGATTTAAAGCACCTCATTTGACTCATGGAACTAGAGATAGGTAGGTACTGGAATCCAAGATATGAGGTGCTACTCCCCCAAGCCTTGAGTAGCCGGGGGGAGGGGAGGTGCAGAGAGTCACTACAACAATATTTCAGCATCACCATACATATATATTCCCTTTTCTCAAGAAAAAGAATGAAAAGTTTCTGCCAGTCCTATATAAAGAATAGTTTATTCTTAGAAAAATCAGGAACAGAGCACCTAAAGATAGAAAACCAACTTCTGAAACAGAAAATTGAGATAATAAAAATTATATATCAATTAGATAAAATTTCATTCTTAACTACACTATTATAATTAAAGCAACATTTAATGATAAGCATAATTCCTGGTGAGCTCCAATGAAATTTCTAAATTCTGATACATAAACAAAAACTCAGAAAATCTTAACTATTTTAAATACTAGACCAAAAAAATTTTAAATGAGATAGCAGAAATTCTCACCTGTGTTTTGACTGTGATCTTTTTCGTCTAGAATGGGATTTTGAGCTAGACCTGGATTTTGAACGAGTGTGGGAACGAGATCGACCGCCTTTTCTTTCATTGCTCTTTCCAGACTCTGGGAGGAAAAAACCACTTTGCAGTGTAAGCTCAGAACAATTAAAGATCCCAGTTAATAATCAGGCACAAGTGGAATGTACCACATATAGTGCAAGGGGCCTACTCTCTGTACATCCTCCTCCTGTGCAATTATCCTTCAGAAACATCCAAGAAAGTCATTGCATAAACTCGTTGAGTGCAGCCACCCTGCAGCAGTACATATAAACCAGATGATTATAAACAGCTGTTCGTAATATTTTGTTGCTGCCATAATGTACGATTATAACATGTCTGTAATTCCTATGACAGTGATTTTAAATCTTCTCTCCATTTATTTTACTAGCAATGAAGCTTAAATTCTGAGTGCTAATGTAGAAAATTTGCTCAACTGTAAACCACCTAGACATTTTTAGATTGGATTTTTAACTTTCCGTAAGCAACATAAAAGTCTGAATAGGTGTTCCTTTACCTTGCCAAAACAGTCTATATTTTGCCAATCATGGGCTCTCTTTCCTATTTTTAAAATGAGAACTGTGAAGGAAAGTGAACCTGCTTGATTATAACCTTTTGATTATATTGATTCTTACTTTTAGCCTCACAGTAACATTTATACTTTGCTTCAAGCCAATCACTTGCGAGCACTGACTCTGCTACAAAAACATACAGATCTGATTAGCTCAAGCTAATGTGCCTCAATTCAGTATCATAGGAAAACACAACATTTGTGCTAACCAGTTCTTGACCTTTGACACTAGTAAGTCACTTACTCTTTCTCGAGTTTCAGTCTTCTTGTTTGTAACATGGAGGGACTAAACAAGGTAATTTCTAAAATTCCTTCCAGTTCTACGGTTCTATGATCTTAAACTGCAACCTATGTAACAACACTGTGGCCTTACCTGGTTCAATGGCTGCTGAGATAAAGGACTGAGCCTCTCGTACTCGCTTCATTACTTCTTCTAACTCCTTAGCTGCAGCCTGAGGTGTCATCTCAGGGGGTTTTACTATTGCATTGTTGGAGTGATTAATTCTAAATTAAAAATATTAGCATATCACAAATACACACCATATTTTACAAAACATGAAACAAATGTTTATGATACACATATTTATAAATCTGAGGACATCTCGAAAGCACATTAAGAATGATACAGCTAAATAGAGAATAATCAAAACCAACATTAAAACCATGATTAATCTCATTATCACTCATCTTTACCTCTTGCTAACAGAGCCAAAAGCAAGGAAAAAAGAAAGAAAAAGTGAACCCTAGCTGACTCCTTAACAACTTGAATATACGAGGACCATTGCTTTTCCACACAACTTAGAATTATAATAAATTACATGCTGACACCAATATTAAAATGCATCATTTCTCATCTTGGATCCTAAGATTTTGTTGGTATCTCTGCACGCTGGGAGGATGCAGGAGAGGCTACATATGTGCACAATTTCAATCAACCTTGGACCATGGGTGAGTCAGATACAGCTTTGAATGTGGGAGGCACCTGATAAAACTCTTCCCTACTAGGTCAGAAGGGGTTTCTCTGATGCACATAAATGAATCTGGTGAGTCTCACTTCACCCCCTTCACACTGAGAAGACAAGCATTCACTAAAAAGATATTTTATCCTTTCACAGCTGAATCCTGATCAAGCTGTATAACTAAGGCAATTACCTATGAAATTTAGATAAAACTGCTGCCTCAATTATCTGCAAGAAATAGAATTTCTGGTCTTGAGAATGTAAAGTCTTTACCAATTTTTCATTTTGCAAACAAGGATATGAGAAAGTATTAAAACTCAAAATGACTGATTTAAAACACTTCTGGGTACTTAATATTATTTTCCTCCTGGGATTTTGGATTTATCAAAATTCTTATTACAGTATTATTCTAAGTTCATCTCACATGTTCAATTATCCATTAGTCTAGTCATAATGCAAACCCAATCTGCTTTATTAGAGCTTATGGGAAAAAAACTGTAATCATTATACAGGGTATATAAATAATGTTAATATCAAATTCAATCTTATAAAATAGAAAATGTTTTCAAATACAACTTTAAAGGCTAAAATGGTAACTCATGTATTTCATTTATACTTAACACAAAGTCTTCCTTTCCACAAATTGCCAATTACTATTAAAAAGAAAAAAAAAAGCCTTAATTACATCAGAAATACTTTAAAGTTTTTCCATTATCATTAAAATTTCTTTGTTTAGGGTTTCTTACTTCAGTGGCCTGTCTCCAAACATAACTCCATTAAAAGCAAGGGCCCTTGGTACAGAATTTTGGTCTGCAAATTCCACAAAAGCAAACCGAGTTGGCTGAGTCTCATCACCTGCCATCCGCACAAACTTCACTTCTCCAACTTGTTTAAAAAATTCAAGTAGTTGATCAGCTGTCGTTGTCTGAAGAAACAAAGTCACGCTTTAATAAAGTAATTCTTTTTAAAAAAATTAGGTAAATATTACTTTATCAATCGATATGACTTTGAAGAAGGGGGAAAGAGTAAGAGGTCCTACCAACTCAGTTTTTTCTTAAATTAGTTACCTGGGAATTCAAATTGCCAACATAGACTGTTCTCCTAATTTCATCAATTTTGGAAGGATCCACATTTCCCATAAGTGGTGGCTGTGGTATTTCTCCAAGTGTTGCAATGTTGGGGTCTAGTGCTGCTGCTGGTATGGCTCCCAAACTGCTAAGGGAAACACCCAACTATATATTTAAAAAAAAAAAAAGAAAGAAAGAACACATATTTTCTGTTAGTATCAAAGATTATAGTTCTTTAACCTTAAAAAGAAAATGATCAACTCAACAAGAATGGAAGGTGACTAGGGAGTCCCAACTTTAAGCAATGTATATGTCTGAATTATTGAGAAGGAGGTCACAGTAGTTCTGTGTGTAATTAGAAATACAACATAATTCTTAACTATCTGTGTATTTTAACTACTTTCAAACTTGAAACTAAAAATGAACAGTCAATTCTCAGCAGTTATTCACAGCAGTTATGTCCTATAAAGTTGCTATATGAGTATTATGCCAATTTCACAGATAAAGAAGACCTACAGAAATTAAATAATTTTCCCAAAGCTACTCAGCTACCAAGTGGTAAAAGCAAGGTACTACTACGCACAGACCAGAACTGAAACAGGGATAAAGTTTACCTAAGAAAAGAAACCTGAAAAGCTGAACTTACATATACTTTGATGGGAACAGGACAAAACCTTTGAATGATCTTTTATAACATTACGAAATTCAGTTTTTAGTTCAAGCGTTAAAGAATATGTTTTTAATGGGAACTTAAACTAGGAAAGATAGAATATCTCAAAATTTGAAAACAGAAGACTTTGCAGAACTAATGAGAAGACATTTCAAGGGGAAAACAGCTACAACTCAGGGTTGTGAGATGAGACCTGCATCAGGCTATGCGCTGGACATGGAGCCTGCTTAACATTCTCTCTACCCCTCCCAACCCCTCCCTCTCTCTCTCTCCCCCTCTCCAAAAAAAGAAAATTTTGAGCACTGACTATACAATGTTATGAAACTAAGATTAAACAAACACTATGTAAAAACACTTCCAAAAGGTAAAAACGTAAGTTGATGAAACAAGTATCAATTACAGGTGTCGCAACGGCCTGTGTATGATCTTTTTAAAATGTCAAATTAGGGGCGCTTGGATGGCTCAGTCGTTAAGCCTCTGCCTTCGGCTCAGGTCACGATCCCAGGGTCCTGGGATCAAGCCCCACATCAGGCTCCCTGCTCAGCGGGAAGCCTGCTTCTCCCGCTCCCACCCCCCCTTAAAGTGTTCCCTCTCTGTCAAATAAATAAATAAAATCTTTAAATAAATAAATAAATAAATAAAATGTCAAATTATGTCTTACCCTGCTTAAAGCCAATCAATGGCTTCTAATTACCTTTAGAATAAAATTCAAATTCCTTTCCATGGCCCAAAAACCCTATAATCAGTATGCTGTCTATCCTTCAACTACACTGACTGCCATTCTGTACCCTGAAGACAAAGTTTTTCCCACCTTAGGGCTTTTGCTTAGCATTCCTTCTGCCAAAAAACTCTTCCTCAGCTTCCGCCAGCCAAATCCTTCAAGCATCAGGTCACCCATCCCTTCCAAGAGGCTTTCCCTGACTTTATTTTTTTTAAAGATTTTATTTATTTATTTGACAGAGAGAGACACAGCGAGAGAGGGAACACAAGCAGGGGGAGTGAGAGAGGGAGAAGCAGGCTCCCCGCTGAGCAGGGAGCCCGATGCGGGGCTCGATCCCAGGACCCTGGGATCATGACCTGAGCCGAAGGCAGACACTTAACGACTGAACCACCCAGGCACCCCTCCCTGACTTTATACAAAGCTTCACTTACTCTCTACCACATCACTTTTTTTCTTCATAGTATTATATAATCTGTGGTATCTTGCTACTAACATCTTGGATTTGTTGCTCAGCATTACCATTTTGAGTTATCATAGAGTTGTATAAAATATCTTAATTCAAAGTGGGTGAGTGATCTCTGAATCAAGGCTACCACCCTCTAAGCCTAGTTTTTCTCCATGGTTTGCTTATGCACTGACACTCCTTTTTTCCCCCAACACCTTATCTTCTATGGTATTATAAGGTACACAGATGTTTGAGGGTCATTACATTAAATTTTTTTTTTAAAGATTTTTATTTATTTCAGAGAGAAAGAGAGAGAGAGAGAGCAAGCAGGGGGAGCAGGAGAGAGGGAGAAGCAGGCTTCCTGCTGAGCAGGGAGCCTGATCCAGGGTTCGATCCCAAGACCTCAAGATCACGACCTACGCCAAAGGCAGATGCTTAACCAACTGAGCCACCCAGATGCCCCCATTAAATTTTCTTACTGTGCAAGAGAATTATTATATATCTTTAAGTTAAATCACAAATATGACTCTTATTATTTATTAGTTTTGCATAGATTTAAAGCATTGAGCAAGCCTTTCCAGGCACCCCCAGTTGTCAATCCCTTTGACCTGCAAATTTTCTCCACTGGGACATTATATGTACACACACACACACACACACACACACTTGGAATGCGCTTTTCCAAACCATCTAATCCATCTAATCTTTAAGTTTCTCAAACTTAAAAATCATTCAGCTCTTTTTTAGAAACTTTTCCCTGTCTCTTCTTTTTACTATACCCTTCTGCTACACCTATGCTATTTAATATGGCAGTCACTAATCCCATACAGCTATCTGAATTTTAATTAAAATTCAGGGACTCATTTCAAGTGCTCAAGAGGCACACATTGCTAGTGGCTACCACACTCGATAGTACAGATACAGACATTTTCTGCACAGCAGAAAGTTCTTTTGAATGCAAATGCTCTGTAACAATACAATTACCCTTCTTTTAATTAATCTACTTTCTAGCCCTGGTCTAAGAAACTTAAGTACTTAGTTACCCTTTTGGTCTTCGATGGGTTAAAGATGACCTAGGCTCCTGATCTAACACTTCTGACATAGAAACCATGGCCTCCCTGAAAACGAAATGTCTAGGCAAAGGATGAGTAAGTACAAAAGCCCTGAAGCAAAAACATGCTTGGTGTGTCTAAGAAACAACAAAGCCAATACGGCTGAAGTAGAGAAAGCCAGGAAAACAGGTAGGAAAAAGTCAGAGAGGTAAGCAGGAGCCAAGTCACAATGGGCCACCTGTCCCATTTTCTAATTCGAATTGTTCTTCATAAATTAAATTTCAAAATAATAAATATCTACAGCTGCATTTAAAGAAAAGCATTTCCCCTCAAGGCAAGAAATTAAATAAAAACTTTATGCTGCTGCTCAATAAACCCTAAGAATTGTCAAGATAGCAAGACAATACTTTCTGAAAAAAAGATAGTGATCCAGGAATTAACGTGTTAAAATATACCAGAATATAACTAAAATAAAATTTTCTAGAACATTTCTAAAAAGTTTAACTCAAACGATCAGATGATGAATTAAAAAGTATTTTCCTGGGATGCCTGGGTGGCTCATTCAGCTCAGGTCATGATCTCAAATGATAAGATGTTGAATTAAAAAGCATTTTCCTGGGATGCCTTGCCTGGGTGGCTCATTCAGCTCAGGTCATGATCTCAGGATCATGAGATGAAGCCCTGTGTCAGGGCTCCTCGCTGAGTGGGGAGTCTGCTTAAGATTCTCTCTCTCCCTCTGCCCCTCCCCCCACTCACACTCTTTCTCTAAAATAAATAAATACATCTTTAAAATAAAAGGGGGGGGTACCTGTGTGGCTCAGTCAGTTAAGCGTCCAACTCTTGATTTGGGCTCAGGTCATGATCTTGGGGTTGTGAGATCGAGCCCCATGCCAGGCATCACACTGGGTACAGGACCTCCTTAAGATCCTCTCTCCCTCTGCCCCTCCTCTCTTTCTACCCCCCTCTAAATTAATTAATTAAAAAAAAAAATCCCCCTCACCAAAAAAAAAAAAAATTAATTTCCACCGGCGATCACAATGCAGGTCTCCAGCAGTACAAACTTATGCAAAAAAAGACCTAAAATTTTGCACTTTGTTTTATAACTTTGGTAAATTAACTACCATCAAAGGGGTACCTGGCTGGCTTAGTCAGTAGAGCCTGAGACCCTTGATCTCCAGGTGAGTTAGAGCCCCACAGTGGGGGTATAACTTACTTTAAAAAAAGGTGGGGAGAGGGCCTGGGTGGCTCGGTTGGCAGAGCATGCAACTCTTGATCTCAGGGTTGTGAGTTCAAGCCCCACACTGAGTGTAGAGATTACTTAAAAATAAAATCTCTAAGAAAAAAAAAAGTATTTTAAAAAATTTACTATTGGGGTGCCCAGGTGGCTCAGTCGTTAACGCATCTGCCTTCGGCTCAGGTCATGATCCCAGGGTCCTGGGATCGAATCCCGCCTCGGGCTCCCTGCTCAGCGGGAAGCCTGCTTCTCCCTCTCCCACTCCCCCTGCTTGTGTTCCCTGTCTCGCTGTCTCTCTGTCAAATAAATAAATAAAATCTTAAAAAAAAAAAAATTTACTATCATAAAGCTAGTATTAGTTTACTCCCTAATAATCCAATACTACAAAGCTAAGATACAACTTGCAATTAAGGTGAGTTTTATATTTTGTCTTGTATTCATTTTTGAAGAAAAATGACCCTTCTTTAAGATAAATATGACAAGAGCCCAGTAACAGCAAAATCTTTTTTAACCCCTCTTAGAAATCACAAAGGAGGTATTAAATTCCTATTTAATTGCACATAGTTAATGAAAAAATATCTTTACCATGTTTTTACCTTGCTGTATTTTCTCAGTATCAGACAAATGCTTCTCTGAGATTCTTTTTCCTGTTACAAAGCTGTGGATCATTTTATTTTACTTTAATAGATTTAGTCCTCTTGAACTGGGAAATATAGTTACTAGATTTTCCAATTCCCCATGCGATCTAAAATGCTTAGTTTCAATAACTGATTCTCTAACGAATAATCTATTTTAGTTCTCAAATTTAAATGAATGCCCAATTACTTCAGAAAAAAATTCCAAAAGTCAGTTTAAGTCAGTGATAATGTGGGGGGGGGGATTAAGTAGACATTAAGTAGAAAAAAATTAAGCAGACATTTTGAATCCTTTTCATCTAAAAAAACGATTCAAAACAGAAATAATTTTCTAAGCTCCTTTTCAAATGATTACACAGTTCAACATAAATCTCTTTCAGAAGAGGGTGTGTAATACTTACTGTAGTCAAGGGATTTGGGGTCGGTATGGGAAGCAAGCCTGCACCAGGCATTAGACTTGTCATGGTTGGGGCAGGAGCCAATAAAGAGAGGGCTTTGGATTCCTCTGGAATTTTACCTGCAGAGGCAAGTTCCAAACATTACGGAAAGCAGAAACACCACACAAACTTTACACTATGATTTTACAATTACCCTTGCACTTAAAAAATAATAATAATAAATGAATCTATCTATCAGATCTGTACAAAGAAATAAATAAGAACTTAAGTCTTTCCTTTTATCCTGCTCTACTAGGAAAAATAAAAGTGAGCAAAACTTCAAAGACTAACAATCTCATTAATGGAATATTATTTTAAAAATTGAATAATGTAGACAATTATTTAACACTTTGAGCTATGGGTCACCTGTACTGGAAACTTAATGTTCATGAACCAAACGATATCAAGCATGGACGCTTTCCCAGGACGGTGTTTTCGCGGTGATCGAAAGTTGTGTTACACATGACAACCGTTCGTGTTGGCTGCATCACTAATAGCACACAGAACATCAGATACAGAAAAGAAGAACATTTTTTAAAGTTTAATCCCCAGAAATGGCAAATAACCAAATTAGTCAAAAAAAAGAAAAAGAAAAAACAAATATGTGCGAATTGAAATTTGTTCCTTAATGAGTGCTCCTGGTTACTAAAACTACCTACTGGTGATGCAAACAGTTTTGATAACCTTCCAATAAATTCCATTCAATTTCAAGTAGACAGAAAAAACCAAAAGCCTATTCCATGTAATCAGCTTCAATTTAAAAGGATGCCTACACCCAGCCAGTTAAAAAGACATCTCACCAACCAGGTCAGAGATGCCTAAAAGAATCCAATTCCAAAATATACGCCTTGTGAAACTACTAAAATTTTTGAGAATCACTAACAAAAAAAGTTCCCTTGTCTCAGGAAACTTCTTAAAGTCCTGACTTTTAGAACCAATTTATGTATACTTATCTGAAGAGGGGTAGTTAATGCCTAAATGTCTTGCTTATAAACATCTTAATTGCCTAATAAAAATAATGACAGTAACACTAAAATAATCTCAGACACTAAAAAGAAAAAAAAATCCTTACAACTAAAAAATGAAAAATTTACTCTAAAGTTCATCAATTTGCCATATTTAATTACTAGACTCTAATCAATTAATTTTGATATGAACTGCAACTTTCACACATTTTCCCTTTGTGTCCTCTCTTTCTTACTGACACTGCTAAAATTATCTCTTAGAAAGCTGACTACATGTATCTATTTTAGAAGAACTACTTATAGTTATATGTAGTTGGCTATATACTTCCATTATGGAGTCCTCAAAAATAATTTAAAACACAGTGTACAAAGTCACACTAAATTGGAAATAGCATATGGAGTTAAGTTTTCAAAAGCACCATGATGGATTTTAGAAGTAAAAATTCTACTTAAAACAACCAGATGTGGAGGGATAAATCTCTAAACAATATTATCTGAATATACCTCTAAACATGGATGAAATTCAAGACAGCTTTTAAATTTTGCTTTAAATAATGGTTACACCTTATTTATAGGAACAGAAAAATTACATTTGATTAGCTTTAACAAATGTCTACTTTTTCCTAAATTCTGCAACATCTAAGTCTACATTAATTTACTAATTTCAAAAACAGTTATTTTATTATTTCAGTGTAAATTCTGCACAAGCACAGATTTTTTAACATGCATAAATAAAAGGTAGGTAGGCCTTACTGAAGACATCAAATAACAGTAATTTATTTTATATTTATTAGTTACTGGTATTAATACAAGTTTCTATATACCCACCTATATATACTAAGCTATTTAAATTGCTACCAGACCCATTTTAACTGCTATAAATAGGTATTATTTTTAATGCTTATAAAACCTGAACACATCTTGATAAATTCAACTGAGGTCCCGTAGCATAAATCTTATGCTTTGTCACCCTAATTTACGTACCCAAAAAACAAATTGTTTCAATTTATTAATGTCCCCAATTTAAGATTACCTGTCAATTAAGTAAGCAAAACTGCCCATAAAAGACAGTGTAGAAAGACTACACAAAATAAAAAGTATTCAACACACGCCAAAAGATGAATAATTAATATCATACTTTCACTTTTGGCTTAAAAAAAGTATCAATCGGTTATCTGACTCTCACTACCTCTCATAATAGTAATAAGCTATTATAAATATTAAGTCTAACTGTAAGCACATTTTTTATTTTAATTACCATTAAAGATATCTTAAGAAAAAAGTTCCATTGCTTAACTCCCAAGATAGAATTCTATCAAATTTATCCTCCAAATACTACCAGAGTATATACAAAAATATAAAACAAACAAGCATTTAGCATTTTTCCCCAACTATACTCAAAGACAACTGAGAAGAAAAACATCTCTCAGAGTATTAAAATTAATAGTCCTAATCTCAGAATCCATTTAGAAGCTAGTAACACCTGAAATTTTTTCAAAAAATTCAAGCAGAGAAATACACATGCCAAGTAAGTTTTCAAAGTCTGTCAAATATCCATTCCCCACACAGGCAAGTAAAAGTCTTTGTAAGTCAAGGAAATAAGTTCTTTCTGTAGTAAATAACTCAAAAAAGTGAATGTCTCTGCTTGTCCTCTACCCTATTCTAAGAAATTTACTTATTTTCCTTGAGGATTTTGTAGGCCTACAAATCTAGGGGGGGAAGGATGAAAATTAGAAGCTGTTAACTGGTTTTTATGAAAGATGTAGATTTGGGAGAAAAATCTGAAATGCTGCAATGAGGTCAGGAAATGTTCCTAAGAATTCTATCAGTGTTTTAGTGTTTCAAGAACAAATTGTACTATGCAGTCTATAAACACCAATTAAGACTCACACTGAGCTTCACAACACTGTATCCTAGTTTACTATGAAAATTTATTTCACTCTAAGATTGAGCTCTGCTAATCATCTCCCAATATAATCTGCAAAGCAATGTTATGAACCCTTAATGGAATACCATTTACAAAGAACTGGAAAACCAGCTCACAAGTTAAAGTGAAAGAGATTTAACAAAACAAAAACAAAAACAAAAACAAAAAAAGGGACAAAATAAAGAAAAAGAAATGAAATTAAAGTAAAACAATAAAAAACAGAGACAGGGCGTCCATCTTCTGCGGTTCAGACTCCGATCTCATTTCCCCAATGAAGGTTTCACTTGACGGCAGGTTTAGTGGCATGGCAAACAATGCCTAACTCAGGCAAGTGTAACAGGTCTGCCTTGGCCAGTCTAGTCATCTAATAATGCACAAATATCACATAGAGAAAACATACAAAACCAAATTAATAGTCAAAATCCATCTACCAGAAAATGTGGACATAAAGTTATGACTGATGATTAGGCTTGACACCCTTGTTATGTTTGACCTTATCTTTTTTCTAAGTGTTAACATTTATAAAAAAGAAATCTGAGATGCACGCAACAACAAAAAGAGGTCATATCTGGACAAGTATAATGAAGGCATATTTTATTTTGAAATGGCATGGTTTATTAACAATAGCTAATGCTTAATACGCATGAAACTCTTACACATCAAACATTACTTATACAGCTTAGGATCTTGTCACAAAACTGCATTACAAAAACAGCAAATTGAAAGAAAATGAAAAAACTTGTCTTAAAACTGTTTCTATGGTTTTCTCATATCTTTCACAATGCTGTTTCTATAACATCAAAGAAAGAATGCAACCAGTGAAGTAAATAGAAGAATGCCTACAGCACCCCATCTTCCTCTAAAAGAACTTACTCCACTGGAACTCTTTCCTTTGGTTTATTTCAAACTCACTTTGCTATCTTTTTCAGTATAATAACACATTATTACTTTGCTTGCAGTGCATTAATCAGATCTTTAACAGCTCACTGTAACACTCCTCAGATTCTAAAAGGTTATTTGGTGGTATTTAAACTAATGAAAAATGTGTATCTGAATGTTTCTCTAACAGCAATTATTTTATCAGTGTTCTAAAATACTTACAACTAAACTGCAATAAAAATGTGATTCAACTTTCATGTTCAAAACCAGAGAAACTGTCTCAAAGTGGTAATATTAAAAATATTCAAGAGCTATTATAATAAATGTGTATTTATTAAGCTCTATTAAGTAAAATAGACAAAAAAAGAGAACCTCTACATGCCCATAACCTTGAACACTTACGACAAATCACAGTATGGGCTTCTCAAATATATGAAAAATTCTATGGAAATATAGCAAGGTTCCAACAAAGCAACACTGATACAAAATTCTTCCTTCCAATTCAGTAAGCTAACATAATACAAGATCCTGCACTACTGGTAGCATAGTTTTCTGATATGATTAATATTCCCATTTAATAAAACTTCTGATTTTTTTCCCATGCAGTTTACCTGGTGTGAAACTGGTATGAACTTGGTATGCAGAACTAAACCATTTACCAGCTCTTTTTCTCACCTTGCTCTCCAATTCTGGGCTCACTGTCCCCTTACAGATCAATAGATAAGGATAGATTCAGCAAATAATTAACTTTAATCCATTTTTATTCTACCTTTCCCCAGGCATGGGAAAAATACTTCCAAATTCATCTGAAAAAAAAATCCAGAATGTCCTATTCTGGGACTGCAAAACCAAAAGAATGGTACCTACTGTATCTAACTGTAATGTTTTTGACATCCCAGAATAGGCATTCTGAAATAAGCATCAAACTTTAAAAGTGCAGCACTGTGTACCATATATCAAGTTATTTTAATATTAGCCTGGTTTCTAAAAGAGGCTTTAAAACATTACATATGAAAGCTTCTTAAATTGTTCCAGGTAAATTTTTTACATTGTACAACAGTTACCACCATCCACCAGGGAAAACATACTTTAAGAACGTTTAAATTATAACCTATTCTAAAATAAACGTACACACACCACAGTGTGTACTCTAAACAAAAGTTAACCACACACCAGAACTGTCAAATTCAGCACAGCCTATTATATGTGAATGGCTCTGTAAACGGAAATAACTAAAAAATAAGTATTGGTAATAATTAGCTCTTAAAGCAGGTTAAGTCTTAAATTTATTTAGTAACTATAAGGCTTTTGGACTTGTTCCCATCTTCAACAACTATTTCCTTGATGGAAGCTTTGGAAAATTACTTTCCATTCAATTACACATCCCACCCCCCAAGAAAAGCAAGCCATTAAAAGAAAAAAATAAATTCCAGTTGCATAGCAATCACAATGAATATGCAATAATGGTCTCAATGACAAGGTGAATTACCTTAAGAGGATACTTCAGAGATTAAATTATGAGTATTTTTCTAATAAACATAAATACCATTTAACCCCAAATTTGGCAAAATGTACAGTTTTTATGTCATATCATTAATACTGTATACACAGGGGCAAATGTCCACTTGTTTATACATTTAAAATAATTTCCCCTACCAATTTAATATTTTAATTTCAGAAAGCTTTGTTTACAACTTGCAAATTGACTACAGAAAGCCAAAGCAAACCACAAGTCATTCATGAATTTTTTTAAATGTTTGGCTATTAAATCTCAAGCATACATAAGTAATAAATTAAACACTGTATTTTATTATTAGGTAAAAATTCTCCAAATTTCATTCTTAAACACACACACAGTGTACTATCTACCTACCAATTTCTAGGAAAGCCAAAGGTAGTAACACACAGGACAGAGATTCAAATAATAGGAAAAAACACGGGAGATACCAACCTTCTGCACAAGGTACAACTATCAGAGCTCTGTCAATAAAAACCGTGTTAGTTAGATGCTGGGCCACGCCAACACTTGATGGGTCACGAAACTTAACATAACATACTTTGGAAGAAAAAGCAAGAGGTGCGTTGCTGCAAGATAAAAAGAAAAACAATTGGACTAATAAACATTTGGTTGGTTTTGTCATTTTCATTTGAAATTTCTTTCTTAGATCTTTATATAATCTTACATAATCAAGACAAGAATTTTTATTGCTAAGGATCATTAGCACATAAAAAGATTTGCATTTTCAAGTTTTTATTTAAATTCCAGTTGGTTAATATACAGTTACCATCAGTTTGTTCTCTACAGTTAAGAGTCTGTTTCTCGGTTTGCCTCCCTCTTTCTCCCCTTAGCTCATTTGTTGTTTCTTAAATTCCACATCTGAGCGAAATCAGATGGTATTTGTCTTTCTCTTGACTTATTTTGCATAGTATAATACTCTCTAACTCCATCCATACCATTGCAAATGGCAAGATTTCATTTTTTTATGGCTAATATTCCATTGTATATACACACAGCTTCTTTATCCATTCACCAATCAATAGACACTTGGGCTGTTTCCACATTTTGGCTCTAAACTTCGGGGTGCATATATCCCTTTGAATTAGTATTTTTGTATTCTTTGGGTAAATACCTAGTAGTACAATTGCTGGGGGGAAGGACAGTTCTATTTTTAACTTCTTGAGAAACCTCCATACTGTTCTCCAGAGTGGCTGTACTAGGCAAAACTGAAGTCTTTTCATGGTGATTTGTCTGCAAAAGTTGACAGCAATCTAGGAAGGCCTATCGTTTTATTTGTAAAAACTGGAAATGTAAATTAACAAGTTCCTAAACAGAGCAAAATTGAAAACAGATTTAACCCAAAAATGTTCAGTCTATCATCAGTAGGCAAAATCACTTTATAGAAGTCCCAATCCTCATGACTTCAAATTTTGTAACCATTTTCAACCCTTTCTAATGTGACTCCCCAGGTTTTAGATCACTAAAAACTTCACCAGAGTCTTGCAAATAGATAACACAGAATTAAAATTAAGGTCTTTTGCATGTACTAGAGACTGCTTTAAGCTAGGCAGCATTGTGATTTTCCAGACAAAAGATTTTACAAAGAAAATGTAATATATTTTATACGGAAAAGAACATACTCCTCTAAATCGTACCAGATTCAGTTTAATCTAGGTAGACCTGTAGTAAAAAACCACACAACACAGATGAAAGCAGTTTTTCCATAACATGAATCCATCTTGTTAGACTGCAAAATATACTATATTCACTGATGATCATTTTGTCAATCTGTCGAAGATTATTTTCAATTAAAGTCTAAAATTGTCTTTAGCAAGAAAAAAAAAAACACCCAAAATAAATATACACCTAATATAGAACAAATACACTCCTTTAAAGCATTAAGATTTTTGACACTAAGAAAGAACTGAGATGATCTGAAAAATATCATCTTTGCCTTGTACAGTAACAATTTAGTTTACAAAACAGGTCAAGAAAGTCGACCATAATCCTAGCCCTAGTAAATGGCAAAGGTGGGACTTAAAGTCTAATTATCTAAATCCAAATCTTGTGCAATCTTAATCATTCAGCTAATCAAGAATTTTAAAAGCATTTTAGGGGTGCCTGTGTGGCTCAGTCGGTTAAGTGTCCGACTCTTGATTTGTGCTCAGGTCATGATCTCAGGGTTGTGAGATCGAGCCCCATGTCAGGCTCCACACTAGGCATGAAGCCTGCTTCAGATGCTCTCCCTCCCTCTCCCATTCTCCCTAAAAAAAAGAAAAAATAATTTTAAAAGCATTTTAATGTACTGTTTAATTAGCAATTCCAAATATTAGCCATTTTTAAAATTAAAAAAAATCACATAAAGCAACAAATCCATCTTGATAATGGTTAAACATACATATTTCTGCTATTACCAAAACACTGTGACAATAAAACATATTAGCATTTAGAACTTGAAACTATCTATATTATTATTAACATAACTAGTCAGGGTAATAAAAGTTGACAAAATGAAACCACCTCTTTCTCACCCAACCCAACTCAATTCACTCCTGCCTAAGGTTATCCAATTCAGCCTTCAACAGGCCCACTCCAATGATGCCTACACTCCCCACCTCCCCACACAAACATCTAAGTCAAACACTTTATGAATTTGTCACTGAGGTAAAAACAGTCGTATCCACACTTAACTCACCTTTACATTACCAAACCTCCAATTTAGGTCTCTCTTGAGCTTTAGACTCCCAGATCCAAGTGTCTGCTGGAATATTACTCCTTGATGGTCACAGGGCCCACCCCCAAAAAGTTACAGAGTCTAAAATAAATTCATCATCCTTCTTCCTCACCAATCCTGATGGTCATCCTCACTTCATCTCTCAGTTAAAAATACCACCATATTACTCAAGTCATAAATCTAGGAGTCATTAAATGTAACCATCATTAGTACTGTTCACTAAGTACTTCCAAATTGCTTCTGGCTACATGGTAAAATTCCATTTCTTTGTTCCTTGAAGTCAGGTGTGCCCAAGCAACTTGTTTTGGCCAATTATATATGAGCAGAACTGACATTCAGGAGCTTTAAGGGTCACTGCTTGGCTCTTTTCCTCTGCCACAGTGACCAGCAACATTTGAGAAATGGGTGGCTGCTACACCGACTTTATCCCAAAGTGAATGACCACAATAAGTAGAGTTCCCTACTCCACAAGCTTAGACTAAGAAATAGTCTGGTTTTACACAACTACTGAGATTCAAGGGTGTTTCCATCCTTGACCCTTCCCTCTTCATCCAATTGGTCATTAAATCCTGTGAAGACTGTATGCCAAATATTTGTCACATTAATTCTTTTATCATTCTATCAGGAGCTTAATTCAGGCCCTCATCATTTCTCACCCAGATTATTACAATGGCTCCTAAACAATCACAGTGCCTCCAATCCCAACTCCTTAATAATGGTCTTTCACAAAAGCTGCCAGAGTGATCCTGCAAAACTGTAAATTTTGTCATGTCATTCCACTGCTTAAATTTCCTCAAAGACATCCTTCTGTTCTTGCTTTATCATCTAAATGCTCCCAAAAACCAGGTATTAGAAATACTTGTGGTGACCAGAACACATTCTGAATATCTGGGCCATCTTTGCACATGTTCCATTTGCCTATGATATCCTTCCTCTTTTTGAGTGGTAATTCCACTTTTCTTCAAGACTCAAGTTTCCAAGTCTTCTGGAAAGCTACTTTAAGATATCATTGATTAAGGACCTCTCCTCTATGTGCTACCAGGACATTCTATACACTTTTAGCACAGCCTTAACCATTTTCTTAGGTGAAACTCTCAAAAGATTTTGGAAGCCTCTAGCCACAACTGATTTGCCACATGACACCAGGGCCCATTTTACTGGCTATAATTTGGGTGGTTTGATCAAATTAACTTAAACAATTAGATTATCTCTCGGGCTGAAAAGTCACTTATACTCAGGGCTTGGGCCAGATGCCAAAATACTGAGTACAAAATAAGTCTGCAAACAAAATAGAGCAGATACACGGAAACAAACTGAGCAGACGATAAAGCCTCTGAGAAGAGGCAGATAAGTCACCTTGGATGCTATCTTTCTGGTTCCCAGTCCCAGTTCCCATGAGGCCTACTTATACTACAGTCTTTATTTCAATTTAGGAAAATATCCATCTTTTTAATAATTTTCTCTCTTCAAAAGCTAGACTGGGTAGGGCTGTTTCTGTCTTTTGCAATCAGTACTCCCCAGCCCCGCAAAAAAACCTGTAATTACGATAAGCTACTAAAGCCCTAGCAATTACAAGTATACTCTCTTTTAGCACTGAAATCTTCAAGAGCCTAACAAACCACCACTGAAACTACATTCCCTAAATGGACAGATCCTTTTGTGAAAGAATGGAAACCTAAATAATCCCTATTGAAAACTAAAATCACATTTTCCAATACCCCTACTTAAAACCCACATCATTTCAAATTTAAAACATCCAGAGGAAAAGGAAATATGAGACTGGATGGTAAAGCAACTTCATGTTATAACAGACTACCAAGATCTGAGAAGTCCAGAACTGGGTAAGAAAGGCTGACCTGTGCAGACCAAGCATTATCATAGAAGTGTGGACACTAGACATAGCTACACCACTGTTCTAAAGAATTTAATCTTCATCTCCAATTACCTTTCTTAAAATACAGAATAGAGATCAACTTACATTAACACTATTTTATTTTGAACATTACAATCTAAAATATAGTGGCAAGCCTAAATACAGAAGATGAATTTCTCAACAAATGTGTATTTGTTTATAAATTATTGTTTCCAAATTTTATATTTACAGCTTTCATTCTAATACATCTAACCTTTTAAATATTTACTTTTTTTAATTAATTAGAATTATCATCTTTAAGTGTAATTTTGACCTAGAGTTTTAATTTTTAAAAGGGTGTTACATATTCCATTTGGTCTAAACATATGCTTCTAAGGAAAGTAGCAGGAGACCAAAATAGCAAATTTTACTTCCACCTCATTTGTTGAATCAAATATTTTTTGGGTTTTTTTTCCAAATATAAAACCTTCTACAATCGTTTTTCAAAAAAATCAGAATTTCTGACTAGGAGTTTTTTTTTTTTTTTTTTAAAGATTTTATTTGACAGAGAGAGACACAGTGAGAGAGGGAACACAAGCAGGGGGAGTGGGAGAGGGAGAAGCAGGCTCCTGCTCTCCGCGGGAGCGGGGAGCCCGATGCGGGGCTCAATCCCAGGACCCCAGGATCATGACCCGAGCCGAAGGAGACGCTTAACGACTGAGCCACCCAGGTGCCCCCTGACTAGGAATTTAATGCAGAAATTACAGAACCAAATTTTTGAGTATCAGTTAAATTTCCTAGGCTCTAACTGGTTATTTTGTTTTTTATTAAACACGGTAATGGCACAGTACAATCTTTTAAAAAAAAAAAAGTCAAGTGGTACTAATATATCCAGCCTTTTATTGTAGGATCAAAAAGGATATATTCCAAAGCATGGACAAAGTACACAGACTTATGTATAAAAATATTAACTGACACATAATTTATAACAGTGTTTCTCAGCAGGACTTTAGTGGTACTTTGGATGGCACAATTTTTCCTTATGTTAAGATCTTCTATGAATTACTGACACTTGCCCACCAAATGCCAGAAGGCACTCCGATCAATGCAGACAATCAAAAAGATACATTTTCAAATGTTTCCAGCTAAAATCCATTGACTTAAAACACCAATACAAAGGAACCAATATAGCTAATGACAGAATTTGAAAAACACACTTAAGACATAATTACAGCCTTTTAAATGTTATTACTATAAATAAGACACAGGAATATGAAAAAATACTTATATGTTGAATGAAAAAAGTTCACCAGTGTATAAGTCCTTTGATTACACTACATTAAAATAAGCTCATATAAAAAGGACTGCAGGCAAATATATAGAAATGGAGAGAGAGGATCGTTAAGTGGTGTTTTTCTCTATTTCTCATAAAATAGCTATTTTTGTTCTATTAATTTTTTTAACTAAATAAATAAGTAGTTGACACATTTTTCCTTGCTTATTCATACTTTTGAAGACCAGGGAAGTGAAGAAAACCAGCAAAAAAAAAAAAAAAAAAAATCAACACAGGTGTTAATGTGAGAAATGGTGTTAGAAATCAGGATAGGATTACCCTTCAGGGGTTAGTCACTTGAAGGGGGGCATTGGGAAAATGCTAGGGTGCAGATAAGCCTGATGTGGGTGCTGATTACACAGGTGTTCACTTTGTGGAAATTCATCAAACTGTATTTTTATCCATACACTTTTCTGTATGTACAGTATACCTAAAAAAAAAAAAAAAAAAAGGTGACTAAAAAACTACAAAAGTTTCTTACTGCCGTAAAAAGGTTTTCATGACATGATATTCATTTGTTGTGCAACAAGTGAAAACAAAAATTCTGGGTATTTATCATCCGGCAGCACAAAAAAAAAAAAGAGCACAATTAAGAATTTTTAACATAGGGGCGCCTGGGTGGTTCAGTCATTAAGCATCTGCCTTCCGCTCAGGTCATGATCTCAGGGTCCTCGGTTCGAGCCCCACACCGGGTTCCCTGCTCCGCGGGAAGCCTGCTTCTCCCTCTTCCACTCCCCCCTGCTTGTGTTCCTTCTCTCACTGTGTCTCTCTGTCAAATAAATAAATAAAATCTTTTTTAAAAATTTTTTAAAAAAGAATTTTTAACATATATAATTAATGTTCACACTAATTACCGTTATTTAAAAACTATGAAACTGAATCACAGCCTCATTCCAAGAGTTAAATTTAAAATGTGAATTTTCATATTAGCAAATTCTTAAAATGTTAATGAGAAACTGTTTTCACATTCTTTTAAAGAAATGTATTTCCAAATTTAAAACAAATGAAATTCTACTCAGTTTCCAAACATGAATCATAAAGTACTATTTCCGAGACACTACAAAACAGTTATCTGTCTTCAATACAACTACTACTATTGCACTGTATCCATTTCAGCTCAAATTTGCAAATACAGCTTTAATATAAAAACCAGGTTATGACAACTTCACCACAGAGCAGAAAACACGCTGTTAATAAAGCATGGCAATATTTCTGAAAAACATTAATAAGGGATTACACTTAAGGAAAAACTGATTAAGAATTTTGCAAGGCCCATATGTGCTATGTTTATGTTACAATTTTGCATAATGTATTACAGTTTGTGACACACTAACTCCACCATGTTTAAGTAAATAGCTTTTTAGTCTCTTTGACTTTTAAACTCCAAGTAATTAACATCTGATTTCAAAAAACAGCCCATTATTAAGTGTCAGATAGTAACTGGCAGCATACTGCCACCCATACCCTGGTTTTAACTATGAAAGTGGTATTATGTTGGCATTGAATAATATTCTGTGATATACTTCTTCTACCAGACACCTTATCACCACAACCTTGAAAGCAAGGTTAGTTTACAAAGGTTCATACACAAAATATTTTACTGCTTGATTCCAATTCTTAAGGGTACAGCCCTCTCCCAAACACTTCTCAATTAATAAAAAAAGTTCTGAATGCTGAAATGAAGAGACAGCAGAAAGCATTTTCAGAAGTTAAATAAGATATTCAAACTATAAATGCCACAGCTGGTCAATAAATATGTATATACATGCACTTATGAAGTATTCTTGACAAAAATGTATTATCTGAATCTAATCATGTAGAAACAATCTATATAAGCCCAGATTAAGAATCCTTCTACAAAACAAACTACAAGACAAAATGTCAATGTCATGAAAGACTTTTAAAAAGGTGACAGGGGACTGTTCTGGATTAAAGGAGGTAACAACCAAATAAAATGGGTGGTTTCTGATTATATTCTAGACCAAAAAAAGAAAAAAAAAAAAACTCAGGATTATAATAACTGGGAAAATTTAAATATGAACTACTTGTTATACATTATCAATGTTAAATTTCTTAAACATGTTAACAGTATTGTGGTAATGTAGAACAATCTACCTGTTCTGACGAGATACATACTTAAGTGTTAAGGCATAAACAGTCATGGTGTCTGCAACTACTTTGAAAAGGATGGAAAGAAAGAGGGAGTTTAAGTATAGGGGGGAGACAACTGGCAAAGAAGGAATACAGGTGAAGGAAACGTGGGTGTTATTCTTTCAACTTTTTCGTATACATTACATATTTCAAAACAAAAGGAGAGGAAAAGAAAATTTAAAAAGTAAAATTTAAAAATCCAAACACTAAACTTTACCAATCAGTATCTATGCTGTGGCAATGCGATGTACTTACAGATAGAAACCGAAAGAAAACAGGTCTACATGCATCGTTAAACCAAAAAGTCAAATACAGATTTTTTTTTTTTAAAGAAAAAAAACCTGGGCAACTACTGGCTCTTCCTTCAAAGAATTCTGACAGAATGAACAAAATACTGAGGATTTCAAGATTCTAAGCTCTATCTTAAAAAAAAAAAGGATGTGTAATAAAGTGAACAACCAACAAACCCCTTACAAATTTTGAGTAGACAGTACTATACAAGGGAAATCTTACTTCAAAATACAGTACTTGGGAAGTCGCCGCGAGTTGTAGACTTTTCAAATAGAGACAGACTTTTAAAGCGTCCAGCAGGGATAATCCTGCACCGACTAATACTTTTTATGAAAGGCTTAGGACAGTGTGACCTTCAAAGCGGAAATTTTAATCCGCTGCCAAAAGGGCGAATAGACATGATCTTTAACAACATGGATGGGCTCGGTCAGATTCACCAAGAAGATGCTCAATTTGTGAACACCGCCCTGGGGAACAAATACAGCCCTAATTCCAATCTGCCATGAGCCGCAGGCTTTCCAATCAGTAACAACGGCCTGACACTAAGACCCTAACAAGTGGACAGTTTCTCCGGCGCGGTCTCTGCGATTTTCACATTGCAAAAACGCTAACAGGCGTTTGCCATGAGGACTATTCCGGGCCCACCTGCGGCCATCTTAAGTTCGGGAAGAAAAAGGAAAAGGGGGAGGCACTGAATACCAGGACCCGACGGAGACCAGAAATCCGGGATGCACGAAAAAACAACTTCTCTAAATTCTAAGAGCTCGGTGCAGAGGTTAACCCCCACAGTCTAACTAACAAGGAGAGCAGGACCTCGGGGTGCCGCGCCTGGGTGCCCTAATCAAACATGGGCACCAAGGTAAGCCCGGACGGTCACGTGACGGGCACCGCGCGCCCCCGTCCGCGCTCTCCCCCACGCCTCGGTGCCCGAGGTCTCTATGGCGCCCGCGCCCCTCCCCCAGCCGTGCTCGAGCACTTACTCTGGGGGGTAAAGCCGCAGCTCCTCGATTTCTCCTAGGAAGGAAAAAAGCGTCCGCATCTGCTCGCTGGTCACCGCCGACGACAGATTGGTCACCTGAATCACCGCCGTAGGGGTAAGGCCGAAGCCTAAAGCCAAACCGAAGCCGCCGCCGCTGTTCATCCCGACCCGCTGCTGCTGTCCTCCGCTCCCCAACGTCTACGACGCGTCAGCGACGCAGCCGGGAAGGCGAAGAACGCGCGCCCGCGAGCGCGCTCCTGCTGGCAAATTCACGGCGGTGGGCAGGTCTAGCCGCCCATTCCACAACTCCCCTGCTCCCAGGGCTGCGCGCGCCGGCCGGAAGCGTCGCCCCGGCAACCCGGCGGGTCGGAGGAGGTTGTACCCTGGGGCTCCCGGGTCTTCCAGCCGTAACTCCTGTCAGTGTTCTCCCCGTGGGGATTTTTATCGATTCCCGCCCCCCCCCCCCCGCTTCAACTGAATCAAATTTCAGTACTCCTAAAAACGTAGGAGACCCAGCTCTTACCGTTGTTAAATCTAGGTAGAACTGGGGAACCAAGAGGCCTGGCCTGCTGGTGCGGGGCTGGGAAGGAGGAATGACTCTCGGGCGTCGCAGATTAATGCTTCACCAAACTGTGGCGCGTCGTGACCACATGCAGGCCCCCTCCCCGCCCCAACTATTGAAAACATTGGCCAAGTCCTAATTTAAAAAAAAAAAGGAAAAATTTAGAAAACGTTTAATTTCTGATTGAATTAAGAAAGGAGGCAATAAGATGAAGACTATGCGGTCGTTGTTTATAACTTGTCAGTTAGTCGCTCATTTCGCAGATACTAATATTTATTGAGCCTTACGTTCCAGACACTGTTAGACAAGAGCACATAAAAGACAGCTACAGACGGTCACATAGAACTTGTAACCTATTGAGGGACAACTAAGTGTGTGCTACTGAGCAGCTGCTCCCAAAATGTCATCCCCAGAACCCTGCTGAGGGTCCTGGAGGCCCTTTCGGTGGGTCCGCAAGGCCAAAACAATTTTCTTTCTCTCTTTCTTTCTTAATTTCTTTCTTTCTTTCTTTCTTTCTTTCTTTCTTTCTTTCTTTCTTTCTTTC